CTCTGCGCCCTTCACTGCGAACTTAGAAATACTGATGAGTTGTTGTCATCATTGGGTTTGTTTTTGTACAAAGTGGGTTCACTTGATGAATGTAATGCCGTATTGGCAAATTATGGCCCTGAGAATTTTAGCAGCAGAATAACAGTGAAGATGAAGGAGGGCCAAGAAACTGCTGTTGAAAAGCACAACATTCAGATGTCTTCATTTTCAGGTACCTTCTATATTGTTTCATTTTTATCATGATTGCTTTCATTCCCTTTATCCACTTCAGGGCTTTTACTTTTGTGCTGTAGCAGCTGCTTGAGTTTCATTTGTACAATACCTTGATCCTTAATATGAAAACTGTAACACTGGTTTGTAATGAAGATGTCATTAAGTTGTGAATTTAAATCCGGTTTGTTTCTTTCTGTACTATTTTTCATGAAGGTTCTACTGAACGTGAGTTCCTCACAAACATTGAAACGATTGTCAGGAACTCCTTGCTTCATGACAAATTGAAGTCATATTTTGCTGATCCAGAAAGTGCTAAAGAGGCACTGCTGAATAAAGTCACATTATTTTTGCAATGATAGAATCAAGGTATGGCTCAGGATATCACATGATTTGAATGTTTCACTTAAACCAGTGCAACACACAATAATATTTTTTGTGTAGTATGTAGAAACATACACTGAAAAAAATGGTTTAAAAAAATGTTTAAAATATTCAATGAATTTGTAATAATTTGTTCTAGTACTATCAGGACATTCCAGACACATTCACCAGAGACTTTGGTTCAAAGCAGGAGACTATTACCCTCACAGGTTCAGGTACATGTTACAATCATTATACTGTTATTTAAAACCTTTCCTTCCCATTGACTGTGATAAACCAGACAGTTTGAATTAATGACTGCATTTACATCCATCTACACTGGAAGTTGTGATAGGCTAGCTAACACTGTTAGTATTAATACAACCCCATGACGTGACCATTGTGTATCAAGGATACATCATTATTGCATCAGATTACTGCATCCCAACTGAGTGAATGTTCCTTAGCATGTACAGCACAACCAGTGGTTTGTGTTCTTGCATAATAGTCCTCCCTTAAAAAGAGTACCCCCTTACACTTCGTGATGTGACTACCTAACCTGTTTTCCTTAGAAACTGGAAAAGAAGTTCAAAGAAGACTGGAATTCTGGCAGGGTAAGCTACGTGAAATCGAGGAAAGATATGTGGAGCTGTCAAAGAAGTGTGTTGGTGGGTCGGTTGCTAAAGGGAAACGAGGAAAGAAAAGGCAGAAGGTGGACAATGCCGATCTTTCTCAGCTATCTGATTATGCAGCAGAAGTGTTCTACCAATTTTTTTTAAAGGTAATCAAATAAACAAGTCTTTTTTTACTTAATTGGAAGACACATTGGACAGTTTTATGAGAAGTAAGATATGGGGCAAAATCCAGACACGTTAAGTTAAAACTAGTCAAGCTGATTTTGCTTTTTTGAACAAAATTCTTAACTTTAATTTAACAAGTGGCAGTTACAAAACACAGGTCACAAGGGAAGGTCACTGCATGCTCTTACAAAAAAACTGAGATAGGCAGTTTCCCCGTAACTTAAAACACCTCATTTCAGATTGTAATTTGGGCTTTTCGTTATTATTCATTTTGATTTCAGGTTTACACCGACTGGAAAGACATTTCTGAAGTTATTAGAAGTACTGTCGTCGAGGAAGATTAGCAAGATTTGATTGACATCGTTGACATTAACAGGTATGTGTCAGGTATTTCACTTTTAGTAAAAGTGTAAAGGGGCAATTCCACCGTTACGGACATTATACTCAGAGAGCATTTTTTAACTTTGATCTCCTGTCCTGTTCACAATATGCAGTATAATTTGTTTCCTTCAAAGGTTTCATAAATCACAGGAACTGAGCCTTAAAAGTCGTGATTAAAATTGACGGTTGTTTTAGTTGTAATGTCTAGCTGTAACAGGCCTTTCAGTCAAAATCAGAGGGAGCTAAAAATTTGTTCTCTGAGTATTTTTTTATTGTGCAAAAGGGAAGTCATTATGGTGCAATGTGGTTGATACAAAACAGCACTTTAATGCATATTTTTTATTGGCAAATGCTCAAAGTTGTCCTTCAGTCACATTAAATTTCTCTGAGGTCTATCTTAACTGCTTTGGTTCCCTAAAAGGTTGTGTTATGGACATTACACCAAGTGTTACGGACATTACTGTCTGTGAATTTTTTCTTGAAAATTATATTATGTGTACTATGATGCTAAAAAAACTGCTTATTTCATTTATTATTATTTGTTAAATTTACCATCAGCAATGTATAGAAGCCCTGAAAATTAAATGAAAACAAAAGCACACAAAAGCTGTTTTGTAATTATAGCTGGTCAGCGCATTCCTTTTCAGAGCATGCTCTGGACATTCTTTGAAAGAAAACCACTGGCCAGTAGTTTTAATCAAATTATGACATCTCATTGTACTCTGAAAGTTACATAAACAAGATGGTTGTCTTTTCTAAAAAAAAAATGTCAAAACAGGGGCTGAAAGGGTCAGAACTTTTAGAACAAGAATCAAAGTAGATGTTGAGAGGTATAAGGCCTATAAGAACAAAGACAAAGAAAGGAAAAGAGTGCAAAGAAAAGGTCAAGCCCTTTTTTTAGCTTAGTCCAAGTGAAGTTGCAAGAAGGAAGAGACTCATCCGTGAAAGAGTCCGAAAATACAGGCAAAGACAAAAAGAGAAGAAAGCAAAAAAACTCTTTCCTAGACGAAGATGTATCACAAGCTTACCAAACACCTCAAGCTCTAGGAAAGGCTCTTGGTAAGGTCAGCAGCAGAGTGCTTCCCCAAAGCCCCAGAAAACGAAAGGCTGTGGTTTTCAAACTAGCACATGCTTCAGGTTTTCTTAGGAAAAAGAAGTGCACTAGAGGTAACAGGGGTCTTCCAAAAGAGACGGTAAATCTTGTTAAAAGATTTCTTTCAGCTTGACTCCATCTCTCGCCAAGCACCAGGCAGAAAAGACTTTGTCACTGTTCGGGAAAACAACACAAAACATCATATCCAGAAAAGGCACTTGTTGTGGTCCCTAAGGGAATGTTATAGCATATTCATGAAAGAAAACCCCACCACTGAGATTGGCTTTAATAAGTTTTGCTCCTTAAGGCCAGTGAATGTCTTGCTTTCTGCTGACATGCCTAGAGATGTTTGTCAAAATGCTTTGTGAGAGCCTGCATAAAGAAATATATGATTTTCCACTGTACTCAGGACGTTTTGCAGAAAATTTTGTTTGCAACCCTGAGTCAGAACTTTGCATGCTTGGCAAATGTAAAAAGTGTGCAAAATGCCCCAACTTGTTGCAAAAAATAAGGTCAAGTGCAGGAAACCTTGATGAGCATGCAACATGGTATCAGTGGAAGCATGTGGAACAAATGGTGCAGGCAAAGAAAGGAAAAAGCATGAAAAGGGTAAAGAAAATTCAGAAAGTTCTGAAAGAGGGTACTGTTGATGATTTACTGGAAGATCTAGAAGTTCAGCTGCCATCATTCTTAGAACATGTTTTTGTAAAGTGACAACAGGCAAGAATTTTCAAAGAGAAGATAGAACATCTGACAGAGGAAGAGGCAGTGGTGCAAGTTGATTTTGCTGAAAATTTCAGCTGCAAGTACCAGGGAGAAGTTCAGTCAGCACACTGGAGCCAAGACCTAGTTATCCAGTTCACTGTTGCAATCTGGACAAAGTCTGGAGACAAAAACAGCTGTTGTGAATCTCACGTCATTGTTTCAGATGATTTGAAGCATGACAAAACATCTGTTGCCGTGTTCATGTGCAAAGTTGTCAACGACCTTGTGAAGGTGAGACAACCAGACATAACTTGAGTTTGGATATTTTCAGATGGACCAAGCTCGCAGTTCAAGAAAAGGTACAGTGCCCATTTTCTCCATTTACTTCAAGGTCAAGGTCTTAACATCCAGTGGAACTACTTTGCCACATCACATGGGAAAGGGGCTGTTTATGGTATCGGGGGAACTGTGAAGCGCATGGTTTGGAATGCTGTATCCACAAGAAAGGTGGAAGCAGTCAAAGATGCTTGCTCTCTTGCAAGTGTTGCAAATACTAAGTTGAGCACACCTGTTGCGGTGACCTTTGTTGGATCTAAAGAATGAGAAGCTACTGCAGACTTACTTGGATTAAAGAAATTCTTCTCTGTTGAACCAGTAATCCCAGGTATTGCCAAATTTCACAGCTTAGAACCACTCAGGAATGGTCTTATTCGTTGCCGTACTTTCTCTTACCAGAGTACCTGGATTGAAATGGGTGTCCAGTTGTCTGGTTCAGAAAATGAAGACCTGGATCAAAATAATAGTGATGATCAAGACTCTTCCTCTCTAAGCAAGGGAAGCAACAGTACCAGCAGTGCTGATGAAGACGAGACCAGTGGAGAGAAAGGAGACTTTTTCAGCAATGCTTCAAGAAACAGCCATCACATGTACAAAGAAGTTTCAAGTGAGAGCAGTAAGGAAGACAGTAAAAATCATGATGAAGAGGGTGACTCGAGTGAAGAAGAAGGTGTGACAGGAAACAAAGGTTCAGGTGGTCCAGATGCGAAAGAAAGAGCCAGCAATGCAAATAAAAGTTCAAGTGACGAGGAAGAGAATGTCAGAGAAGAAAGATATCCAAGTTCAGCAGGGCCTTCCTGACAAGCTACTATCACCGATATATTCAAAGGATGTGCTTTGTTCAGCCTTCGACGTCATTTAGACTGCCAAGTAAATGCAGTTTCTGATGGCTGGATTAGCTTTGAAGGAGGTGGTACGATTCAAAATGATGATCTTAATGGTTTAATGAGAGGGGGAAGAAAATCCAAGATAAATGGTTGTCCAACTTTATTATTGATGAATACCTGAGGCTTATTCAAGTGACTTGTGCAGTTAACAACAGTTTGGCAGTTGAAACCTTGCCATGGGAATTGTTTGAGAGAGCAGTTGGTTCACTACCAGTGCATCGCTTGTTGAAAGGGAGAAATCCACTTCTGCTTCAGGATGTAGTCCTTGTGCCATGCAATACCCCAGAGTCTGAGCACTGGACTCTTCTAGCAGTTCTGCCAAAGGAGAAATCTGTTGTTGTCTTAGACAGTATGCCAAGTAACCACATTAAACATACAAGTCTTGATGCTATTTCTAAGATGTGTGGCCTTCTCAAAGAGATCAACAGCAATGTAGACCTGAATCAGTGCAAGCTTATAGTGAACAAAAAGGGAGATGTTCCTGAACAGACCAATGCCTATGACTGTGGAGTGTTCACTTGCTTGTATGCAAGATGCTTGGTTGGTTATGGTGAGATGATCAGTGATGCCAGCATCTCGGATTTCAGGAAACTCATGCTGTTGGAATTGCATCAAAGAAAGCTACACCCAATCCCACCAGAAGGCATCCTACCAGCTGAGCAGTATTATGCTGTTGAATATGTGGAAACTTACTACATTGGACATGCACAAAGTCAAGCTGATAGCTTTGTAAGATTCAAGTTCCTCCATCGAGTGGGTGCAAAGAGTTTTGACTGGCCCAGCCGGAATGATGTTGATGATGTTCACATCTCTTGTGTGTTTTATGGCCCCGTCACCCTAGAGAGTGCTGGCCCATTTGCTGTTCCAAAACAGCAAAACATTGAAAAAAAGGTTTAAAGTGACACAAAGAAAGAAGTGAAATTTTGTTACGGACATTACTCATCTACTTAGATATTTTCTACTAGCCAAAAATGGGGAAAAATTGTCGAAAACTATCAAATTTTTTTCTCGTGTGAAAAAAACGCTTATGCTGTAATTATACCTCAGTTTCAGTGGACTGGATTGATTTTGATATTTTGGCAAATTGTCCCTTAACTTGCACCTGTGGGTCCCACGTTTTCTTTGTTTATATGACCTATTGAGTAGTAGACCCCCTGCAGAGTGCAGAAGGGCGAAAACAGAAATGACACGTATGTTTTTAATACAGTGATGTGTCTTCTCTTTAATGGCACAGAAATTAATTCCAATATCCTTCTTTTAAAAATGATTGATTTTTCACCTCTCATGTGGAATTGCCCAAAGTACCATTTGGAAATGAAGTCCTGATCTTAATGGAAAATATGCATACTGTCTTAAACTATTACAATAATAAATTTAGACAAGAAGGTTAAATACAGCTGTAGTGGTTTTTCTTGTAAATCTTTTACCAGAGACCGTGCAACAATTAAAAGCCATAATAAAAATAATTTCCAGTCACTTTAACTGACATTCAAAAACAAAAAAGAAAGAAAGAAATGCTTAATGACTGTCTATCTGACAAAGGTACAGCAAAACTTTACATCCAATTTTTTAAATTAAAAAAAAAACAGATCTAAATATTTGTACAAGATCTATATCAGAGATTTTGACACTGTTCAAAAAATTTGCAGTCATGTATAATCAGAACCTGGAAATACACTCAGGCTGGTCTTTTAAACAATACTTCAAGTTTGATTATAGAATGAGGCACATACATTATTATTTTAAAAGTAAAATCATGTTTATCTCTCCTAAAATGTTTAAGATATTCACAAAGTGCAGGTCACATTCCCCAGGTAATAAGTACATTTCACTGCTCCATAGATGAATTGCCAAACCACACAGATTCCCCTCTATCTAATGGAGCATTTTGTGAAGAGTTTAGGGCTTGCAAACACTTTTAATACTATTCATTTGTCTGTATCATGGTGAACTGTACTCTGACAGTGTGGAAAAGTTACCTGTATTTTAGACCCGCCGTCAGTTTAACTGCACAGTCTGCAATGTTGATTTTGACAACTGTTTAACACCCACGGAAATATGCCTCTTTTTTCTTTTAGTGCAAAAAATTGGGATTCCTTTTAAGGGATTAAGTGTTTGGCTGCAACCTGAGCACTGGTGATTATGGCCACATCACCACTGAACATGCCAGCATGCTGTTTAGAAACCACCTCAGCTTGAGGGAGTATTCAAATCAAGGCTTTGAGGCGCAGCACACTCATTACAGTGTCAGTTATATTCAAAGGCTACTTCCCATGACAGGCATGGTCATGCTACATCAAGTTAGTTTTATATTTTACTTTTTATTACTTTATTTTTTTATATTATCATACATCTCAACACTACAGTACTTGAAATTAATATTGTCACCTACTTAAATATTGTTAAAATTAAACTAACAACTCTTTTTACAGGAAGGTTAGGAAGCTCATCATGTCATTTTCACATTATTTTGTGATTACCACAGATGATGCATAGAGTTCATAAAGATATGAAAAGCTCTTGAATTTTAGCTGCCCTCTTAAAGGCTCTTGAATCTAAGTTGAGTCAATGGAAAATCCTTGAACTTTAAATCTTGTTTTGAATATCCTTTAATCTTAAGAGCTTTCATTGTTAGCAATAATAATTTCCTGCTGGAGAACATCCATAGCTATTAAAAATACCTTTAGCATCGGTTTTTCATGGGATACTGCAAACTGTAAACTGCAGTCTGCAGTCACCCATTTGCAGTTTCACTTTGCCTGGATTTTAAACTTTAGGCAGACATTCATTGTTTATCACCAGCTATAACTAGCACATCAGAGGGTGGTGTAGAAATCTGCTTTGTGCTTTTAAATGTAAGGCTGAACAATAATATTATTGTTATAGTGGCAAAAACATTGCTGTAAGTCACCTACTGCTCTAAGCCTTTCCTGCCATTCAAACTTGAACTGTAAACTGCAAATGTGACCAGAAGATCACTTGACGTTCTCATATTTGAGACCTGTTTTCAGTGTCCCATGCATGAAAAAACCTGATGCTAAAGGTCTTTATTGAAGTTTTAAATGCCAATTTACAGTTAGTATTGAAGTCATTGTTCTAAGCATACCATATTACTAAAGTATAAGTGTTTGGGAGCTACACTGTACATGTTCTTGAATATTATGTATCTTATTGTGTGAAAACTAGAATCCATTGGGGAAAAAGGCAAAGTCTGGTTAATCACATGTTCTTGTTGGTATTGATGTTGTTGGCACTTTTAAATAAGCAACTCTGTTTCGTTATATTAAGTCCAACAGATTTTGCTACATTTCTTTTCTGAAAAGTTGCTCTTGCAGGTTTGCTTCAGAATGGCTACAGAGAGCATGGAAAATGGTGATTATCTTCTAAAATGTTTGCCAGCTAGAAACATTATATAATGGAACTTCTTTTTATGTCAGTCCCTTAGATGTGTAGTCAAATGTATTCTACCTTGTTGAGACAACGTTATGTAAAAAACTGAGAGTTGTGTATTCCCATAAAAAGCATACACTATATCCAATGACAACATCACTTTGCACTTTATCTTTTTCTACCTGGAATGTGGTGAGATAACATTAATATGTTGTCATTCTTCCTCTTGAGCAGTAGAAAACTAACCACATAAAAACTTGCAGTAAGGTTAGAGCTTATTGAACACAGTCTGTTAAAATCTTTTTTTGTTGTTGTTGTTTTAACTGTGACTGGTTCCATTATTCTGCCAATGCCAATTTTTTTTTTTTGTATGTCAGGCAAACCATTCCATTTTGACACTATTGGATAAAAACATGTGAAAATGCTGTGAAAAACCTGTGAATTAAACTGTGAAAAAACATGTGAACTGTTCAATTTCACATGTTTTTTCACATGTTTTTCACACCTTTTTCACAGGGTGTGAAACTGTTGAGACCCTGTGAAAAGGGCAGTTTTCACAGGGTCAGAACCCATGCAAAACCCTGTGAAAAACCCTGTGAGTTTTTACCATGTGAAAAAACCTGTGAAAGACCCTGTGAAAAACCTGTTAAAAACCTGTGAACTTTCACATTGTTTTTCACATGGTAGAAAATGTCAAAACCTGTGAAAAGGGCATTTTTCACAGGGTCAGAACCCATGCAAAACCCTGTGAAAAACCCTGTGAATTTTTACCCTGTTAAAAACCTGTGAAAGACCCTGTGAAAAACCTGTTAACTTTTACAGTGTTTTTCACCGGGTATAAAATGTCAAAACCTGTGAACAGGGCATTTTTCACAGGGTCAGAACCTGTGAAAAACCCTCTGAAATGGGAGGAGTTTACCTGGCAGCTGCATGTTGCCAGAGATCTCCCCACCACTCCCCAAACAAAAAATTAATGTTGAAGTCTGATTTCTGTCCCCAAGTCACAGGGAACCTGAACACATGCATTTAAGCTGTATTAGCTAATAAAATAAGATTTATTTACCAGTGTTCCTGTGTCTTTATATATATAAGTCACTTTAAATTAGAAGGGATTTGAATCCGATCAGGAAATGGTTAACATTGCCGGTATCAAATGTTTGCTTGTCTGGGATTTCAATTTAACGGCCACAAGACGAGAAGGATCTTGTTTACTGTGGGTAATGTCGACCGAGATATCGGTCGATATAGCGGTCGATATAGCGGTCGACACTCGGTCGATAGTCGGTCGACACTCGGTCGATACTCGGTCGACACTCGGTCGATAGTCGGTCGACACTCGGTCGATATAGCGGTCGATAGTGGGTCGACACTCGGTCGAGACACGGCCGATAGTCGTTCCAGATGTGTCTCGGCCGATATAGCTTTTCGTTCACCGACACTTCGCCGACATTTCGCCGACACTTCGCCGACACTTCGCCGATACTTGGTCGATAGTTAGTCGATACTTGACCGATGTGTCGGTCAGTAATTGGTCGACACTCGGTCGATGGTCGGTCGACACTTAGCATTTCCTACATTTTCCTACATTTTTGCGGGACCACAGGAGCAGCAGATTCAACTTAGGCTGAGACAGGTTCTGTTTAACAGCTAAAACTCAGACGATCGGTGATGATACAAACTGGAAAAAGAAAAGGTTATCATGTCCTTAGTTCCCAGTGCTCTTCGGTTCTCTTCATAGCGTAATCGCACCTTGCACTGCCACATGTTCCCCATCGCATGATAACAGTAATTAATGACGTCTTTGCTTAAGAAAAAAGCCATTGGACTCACCTGATAAATTAACACACGACTAATATTCGAACGACAGTTGACCGATATACCACCGACAGTTCACCGATATACCACCGACAGTTCACCAATATACCACCGACAGTTGACTGATATACCACCGACAGTTGACCGATATATCACCGACAGTTGACCGATATATCACCGACATATGACCGATAGTAAGTCGAAGTGCGTCGTCGAAATATCGACCGATACTCGGCCGATAGTCTATCTCACTATCGACCGACTATCGACCGACTATCGACCGACCATCGACCGACTATCGACCGACTATCGACCGACTATCGACCGCTATATCGACCGACTGTCGACCGCTATATCGACCGCTATGTCGACCGATATCTCAGTCGACATTACCCACAGTAAACAAGATCCGAAGAGAAAAGAGACAAAGGATGAAACTCAACTGTAGCCGGGTATTTGTATGATATAAATTAATGTCGTTTTAAAATTTTATTACTTGTGAGTCTAATTATATTATTCAGGTATTTTCCTCAAATGCTGTCCAGATATAAGAGAACAGAAATTATTATTACGATCATAGCATATTTTTACCAAGAGATTGCTATCAAGTGATCCTTGTCACAGTATTATTGGACATTTTTTCTTTTCATCAGTGACAAATTGGTTTAAAACATTAGAATTTACTACATGAG